GGGCGTAGTGGTTAAGGTGCTGGATTCCCATATGGCCGACTGCAGTTCAAGTTCTGGATCCAGTGGTTTAAAACTCACATCAGGGGAGTGTGTGTGTGTGTGCCCAAAATCCTGAAGAGAATGGAGAAGGGATTGTGGTGCGACCATCTTCCCCAGGGGGTGATTTCTTGCTTTCTGTCTCTGTCTCTCTGGTGAGTGCACATACCCTATAGCAAAAACTCTCTCAAAAAAATTACTAAAAAAGAAAGACAGCCACCTTCCTGTGTTCTGGACCAGACTCCTTCCACACTGGTTTTCTTCTTACGCCTGCTCCTTTACATCCTCTTCCAGGGACACCTGGTCTTTCCCCAAACCCCAGCCACGGGGCTCATGAACATACCTCAGGTCGACCACCTACGCACGCCTGAGCCAGTCACTAGGGCCAGCTGAGGGGTGTCCTGGCTGACTTCAGGACCGCCTGCTCCCTCTCCCACCATTCCACTCTGCACACCTGGGGTCTCTGCTGTTCCTTTGGCCCACCCAGCCTGCCCTTGGCTGAGGGCCACTGCTTGGGTCCCCCACCTCCACATGCCTCCTGGGACCCCCCGGCTGCTGCTCCCTCTCCCCTCGGTCCCTCAGAAGTCGTCTCTGACCTTGTTCTGTCCCCGCTCCCTACTCTGTCTTCTCTGACCTATCACCACCTCACGTCTGCCGTGTATGCGTGTGGCGTGACGTAGCAGGGGCCATGAGGGCCACATTGCTTGATGGCAGCTCTATCCAACTCTCAATAAATGCATACGGGGGCCAGCTGGTGGCATATGGCTAAGGTGCTGGGCGCCCACATGGAGAGCATAGTTCAAATCCCAGACCTGGTGGTTTTAAAACCACACCGGGCACGTGTGTGTGTGTGTGTGTGTGTGCCCCAAATCTCAGGAGAGAAATGGAGGAGAAGGGATTGCGGTATGGTCATCTGGGGGGTGATATCTCACTTTCCCTCTCACTGCCTCTCTCTGCAAACACACGCACTGTGTAACTAAAACCTTTAAGGAAGAAAATGCACATTAGTTTAAATATTTATCAAGTCAAGGCAGAAGCTGGCCAGGCCAGGTGTGCACCCATTGGTAGGGTCAGCCCATTCTGAGGAGAAATGGCTGGAGGAATGGTGTGAGTCCCCTAAAGGAAAACAGGAAGCGAAGAGATACTGTGAGACGAGGGACTAGACACCGGGCTGACCGAAACCGCGCTGTCCTTTACGACTAGATCCGTGCTAGGGCGATCCGAGCCGTGGGCACTCAGCGAGTGTGAACCCGTGCGTTTCTCGGCACTCGGCAGAATGGCCCATGGGTTTCCTGATCCCTGTGCTTCCAGGATCACCCCCTCGTAGCAGACGAAGTCGTCTTTCTGTGCAGCTCACAGGTGCTGATCCCCAACATCAAACTGCCATGAAGGACCCCTCAGCCCCACACGCAGTCTGACAATCCAGCCTGGGCTGGGCCGTCCACTGCAGGCCTGCCCTGCCACGCTCCCCTTCCCATACCAGGTTCCACCACTTTCTTCCCTGCCCTGGCTCCCTGGGGTTTTCTCTTCCTGCTGCCTAGAAGGCCCTCTGGTAGTCCTGCCCACACCTCCTGCTCCTCCAGACTTTAGTGAAATGCCATCCTTCCTTATTTTTTAAAGAACCTTACATTTTAAAAAAATCCTTGGGACCGGGACCAGCAGTTAGCGTAATGGCTATGTCGCTGGATTCCCACGTAGTTGACCTCAGTAGACATCCCAGACCCGGTGGCTTAAACTCACGCCGGGCGTGTGTGCGTGCGTGCCCAAGATCCCGAGAGGAGAATGGAGGA